TTCTAAGGACTCAGCATTGTGTGTGGAGACTCCGACTTATCTGAAGAATTCAATGCCATCTTTTATCTACAGAGAAGTTACTTGTGGGTTAAAGCTGTGAAGGTTTGAGTTACTGTATTTGTTTGAGATTTTCTTGCTGGTAACAGGGTTAGGTCAGAACACCTTAAGATTTGTAGACTTCAACTCCCAGAATTCTCCCACCATTTCAGTGCTGCCAAAATTGGACATCCCTGCCATAAAGGGAACATAAGCAAAGACCAGCACTATTAAATGCACCTGGAAGTTAATATATGTGTTCCCCTGCTGAAACCAGACTGAAAGGGTTCAAATTAATTTGTTTCAAGATACTCTGAAGCTGCAATGTGACTATTTTTTCCATCTATTCTAACAAGGGAAGGTTGGAGGCAAGAGTGAAAATTGTCCAGAGTCAGGTTCAATAGTGACTTCTTTGGGAGGAGAATCAATACCTCTTTAAGAGATGGCAGAACCACCTACTCCTCAAGGATGAATCTACTGCAACCCAGACCCAATCACATATATTTCACTAACCTGGATCTAAAACACAGGTGGTCAAGAACATTGTCTGCTTCACCAGCACTAACACACTCATCTCAGATAATCGAACCAGACTGGGTCTCAGTCATCTTCCTGGAACCTCAGGATTGAAGTATAGCTTGAAGTGAATCCAAGCATCTTTAGCCAACAGAGCTCTAACATATTCCTTCTCAGTGGAATTGCAGGTGAAATTTTGATTCCACCTTTACAAATAATATCTTTTAATAGGACTCCTGGATACTACAGGAAGTACAGTACTAGATGATTATCTATGGACATCAAAAGAGAAATATTGCCCTTACTACCTTTCATTAGACCTTAATAGGAGCTCTAGGTTGTCCTTAGTTGGGTTTATTTCTCGTAGTCCATCGATGACAGGTATTTCTTCTCCTATTTCACCTCCTTTAGCTTCTTTGTAAGCTGAAGAAAACCCCAGTGTCTATGAGAGGAGAGAGGCAGCCTGGTGCAATCAAGGCCACAGCCACCCTTTCATTCCAAGAGGTGACTAAGATCTTAGTTGAACTTTTCAGCAGACCTTCAGCGATATCCCAAGCTTTTTCTGGAACTCTTCCTTAGGCATCTTAAGTGGAAATGAGAAACTGGCCTTACTATAACATGGGAATAGTGGTGATCTCCCTCAATTCCAGATGCTGCTGCCGATGCCCAAACAAGAAAAACGGCGACCAACAGTATGTGATGAGTCCTGGATTAGAACTAAGGTTGACATAATGCCATGAAATCCCAAGCTACCTCAACTCCACCCCCAGAGAAGCAGATTGAATTACTGTATCTCAAACAATATACCTGAGGAATTTTTTATTTTATTTATTTATTTTGATTTGTCAATCGCTTACAAGATAATAGGTATAAATACAATATATACTGTACATAGTTAAGAATACATGAAATGGGTACATATAAGAAAAATAAAAGAAACAATAGGACAAGGACAGTAGGCACGTTGGTGCGCTTATGCACACCCACTACAGACCTCTTAGGAAAGGGGTGAGATCAATAATAGACAGTCTAAGGTTAAAGTTTTTGGGGTTTGGGGAAGAAACCAGAGTCAGGTAGATTATTCCAGACATTGACCACTCTGTTGCTGAAGTTGTATTTCCTGCAATCAAGTTTGGTGCAGTTAACCTTGAGTTTATATCTATTGTGTGCTCTTGTGTTGTTATGGTTGAAGCTGAAGTATTCATTGACAGGTAAGTCATTGCAATGTATGATTTTATATACCATACTTAGATCAGACCAAAGACGGCGTAATTCAAGGTTTTCTAGGTCTAGAATTTCAAGTCTGGTGGCATAAGGTATTCTACAACAAGTAGAGGAGTGGAGAACTCTTCTTGTGAAATATTTCTGGACTTTCTCAACTGTGTTAATATCAGATACGTAATGTGGGTTCCAGACTGATGAGCTGTATTCGAGTATTGGTCTAGCAAATGTTTTATATGCTCTAGTTAGTAGTGTGATATTACCAGAGAAAAAGCTACGTAAGATTAGGTTAACAACTCTTAATGCCTTTTTGGCTATGTAGTTACAGTGGGCTCTAGCACTTAGATCATTAGAGATGAGTATTCCAAGGTCTTACAGAGCTTGGATCATCAACAAGGTCTTGACTATTCAGCTTGTATTTTATTTTCTGATTTTTTTTTGCCAATATGCAAGACAGAGCATTTATTTGTTGAGATTTGAGGTTGCCATTTGTTTGACCATTCTGATACATAATCGAGATCTTTTTGAAGGGTAGCAGTATTGTCTGTGGTATTGAACAGCTTTACGTCATCAGTGAAGAGAACACAGTTGCTCTTAATATGATCACAGAGATAATTTATGTAGAGTATGAAAAGAGTTGGTCCTAGAACACTGCCTTGGGGGACACCACTGTTGACAGGTATAGAATTTGATAGGACACTCCTATTCGATAGGACATTTTGACCATTTATTGTCTGTTTGACAGGAATGCTTCTGCCCAGTTATGCAGTTGTCCAGAGATACCATAAGATTTTAGTTTTAGGAGTAGTTTGTCATGTACCACTGCATCAAAGGCTTTACAGAAGTCTATGTAGATTGTGTCTATAGTTTTGCCCTGATCGAGTTGTGTAGTCCATACGTTTTTGCAGTGTAAGAGTTGCAGATTACAGGATAGTTTTTTTCTGAAACCAAATTGTTTATTAGAGTGTAGGTTGTTTGTTTCTAAGTGGAGGATAATGGATTGGTTAATAACTGATTCCATGACTTTACAGATGACGCAGCATAAGTCTTTAATTTTCAACTAGGCTGGGGTCTCCCTTTTTGAAGATGGGGATGACCGTGGCTTGTGACCATAGTTTTGGCAAGGAGCTGGTCCTGAAAGATTTTTTCAAAGATTTTGCTTAAAGGTTCTGCTGTGGCAGTGGGTAGCTTTTTTAAGAAGTAGGCACATATTCCATCCGGTCCAATAGATAGAGATGATTTTAGATTGCGTAGTGCTTTTTCAACATTGTCTTCTGTAAGATTGATATGTATTAGATCATTGTAGTTTTCTGTGGTTCGGCTAGGAAATACTGGGCATGATCCATTGCTGTTTACAAATACTATGTTAAAAAGGTTGGCTTTAATGGTGTCATTGTTGCAGTCTTTACCATTAGGTCCTTTCAGGGATGAGATGGACCTTGAGTCTTTTAGTTTGTTGTTTACATAAAAAGCGCGGGTGGAATTGGTGCATATTCTATTCTATTCTATTCTATTCTATTCTATTCTATTCTATTCTATTCTATTGTCAATCTAGCTATGTCAAGATGCTCAGATAGGGGGACTGTAATGCAGTGAGGGAGGGGGTGATGGTATAGCAGCAACTATCTTAACAGGTGCCTAGAGCCCAACCCCAAAACCAGGGTCTCATATACAATTGCCTCTGAACACCAGTAGTATGTCCCAAATGACAATGGTTCTTACACCCAAGTTCCTGCTTCATGCTGTGCCCCAAACCAAGACAGGCACATTTCTGAGAGGGGTATTCCCCACCCTGATCCTCCAGATCCCATGAGGATACCCCACACCAACCTCCTCACCTATGATTTAACTACAGATGAGAGAGACTTTATCATAAACAAATTTTATTTTGATCAAAGCTAATTGCCAAGCAAATTACGGTGCTCTTTAATTCAGGGTGGATTCAATCTTCATATTCTCATGCTGACACAAGATTCAAGTAAAAGAACCAATTGCATATGGAAATTTCTCCTAAAGTGAAACATTATAACAAAGATGGGAAAAGAATTTCCTTAAACCAACTTCCTTTGTGTTGTGATACATTTGCAGATACAGAAATGGATTTTGTAAGAGTTAACTGACCTTTTCTAATGAGCGCTGCATTCCTATTTCAGATTTAAGTTCCGAGAATTTACAGGATGTCCTGAATACAGACACTGGGTAGTATTTTAGCAAGTACTTCTCTCAGACTGAACTGGTTCAACTACTGTAAATGTTTCCTGAGCTTGTCAGCTGGAAAGCTAACAGACTGTGTCTGAAACCTGAGCGCTGTGTGATTTTGGATGAGCTCCTGTTATTTGCCCCAGTTCCTGCAAATCTAGCAGTTTGAAAGCATGCATATGCAAGTAGATAAATAGATACCACTTCAGTGGGAAGATAACAGCATTTTGTGTGCCTCAGCCTATAGTCATGCTGGTCACATGACCATGGAAGTATCTTCGGACAATGCTGACTCCCTTAGCTAAGAAACAAAGATGAGCACAGTCCCTTAGAGATGGATAGGGGGAAATTGTATCTTTATCTGTACATTGGTAGCATTAGGAATAATTGGCTAGCAAGAGAAAATAAACTTGGAATATATAGGCTTTTAGTCTGACTCTCTCTCGCTCTCTCTTTTGGTGTGTGTGTGAGTGTGTGTGTGTGTGTGTTTGGAATTTTGTTTGGCATTTTATTGCTTTTATCTATGTTTATTTTGTTGAATTTATAAAAATACAGAAATGGCATATGACTTCTTTAAATGAACAAGAAAATGATTCCTAAACTATTCAAGACATAAAGGGGTCACTAAACATGAGGATTGTAATAACACTTTATTTGTATTATCAGCCAATGTTTTCTGTCAAAAAGGCTCTCCACATGATACATATAAAGCAAGGGAAAAACAGTGCTCATTTCCACTCATTTATTTTTAATGGATGTAGAGAAACATAAAAGTTCACTTTCTGGTTTATTAACAACAATATTATTTAAGAGAAAGTACATCTACTACACCATTAACTTTCTATATTACATACCCCACAACTGCTGCCTACCCCACAATCCAGAAAAGGATTTGAGCCACGGTTATGAAGTGGAAATGCTTACAAGTTAATGGGGTTCAGAGAGAGGATATGGTGACTTTGAGAGGGACGTGGCCTCCTCCCTCACAGCGTGGACCTATCTTTGCTTCCTCTCCAGTGCAGTGCCAAGTCTTTGGCCAGAATATTATCACAGGGGCTTTTCAGGAATATGAGGCTTGATGGACATCTCTTCTCAGGGAGGTAAGGTAAGCATCACTCCACAAAGCTTTCCAAGTTACATGTGTGAAGTATAGTTCATTGGGTGGTTCTCCTGACCAGTGGGATCTGAAATTGGCAGAGAGTTCATAGGTCTTTTTAAGAGAGCTAACCATAGTGCAATAGAGATATTACTGGCCCAAATGCCCCCTCCCCCTACATACATGTGGGACAGTCACATTTTGGAGACCCCTGAAACTGTATTCACATGATTATTCGTATCCAATCAAGACTGAGAACCGCATAACATAATTAGCCAGTTACCATGCTCATTTGCAAAGAGTTGTGCAAACGACAAGGGGGTCTCATATATAAACCCCTTTTGTGGCCTTCTGACAAGCAAAACCAATGGGGAAGCCAGATTCATTTAATAGCCATCTTACTAATTTAACAACTGCAGTGATTCACTTAACAATCCGGGATAAGAAAAGTCATAAAATGGAGCAAAATTCACTTAAAATTTTGTCAGCCACAGAAATTTTGGGCTCAACTGTAGTCGTAAATTGAGGATTACCTGTAGAAGACAGGGCTAATCTGATGTTTTGCTCTCTGAGGTGGACAGATGCTCCCAATTTGAGAAGCCAACAGAACAATTTAAAGCAGAAGTCTCCAAACTTGGCAACTGTAAGACTTGTGGACTTCAACTCCCAGAATTCTCCAGCTGGCATAGCTTAAAGTTGCCAAGTTTGGGGACCCCTGATTTAAAGGGGCCCAGGGAGCACAATCACAGACAAACTACTATTTTTCAAAAGTACCTGAGAGGAATGTCTATCAGTGCTCAAGCTGACAAGGTAGAAACCAAGTCAGATGTAACTGTAAACATTGAGCTGATGTCTTTGACTCTCAAGCCAGGGAAAAGTATGTCCCAAAGTCCATCGAGTCAAAAAAAGGAGAGGAAAAGAGCTAGGTTTTAAACCCTGGCATAAATATAAAGCTTGATTTCTATATACTGCCTATATGTTGGTTCATTCCATTGATGCACCCAGTGTCCATCTAAATGGACAGCCATGAACTTGTTGGGCTGGGTAGCCTATGCTTTTCTGAGAGCAGCTGTGGGGTTTCTCCCCCAGTATTCGATGCCACAGTCAGTGTGTGCAGTGACTTCTAGAAGCAGCTGGCAAATTTTAGATAGGGAAGGTAGGTAGACACAGGTTTCATTGATCAGATATATTAACAAGTAGGGCTTATCCATGGATAGGGGAAATCATCGTGGCAGATTCTTTTATTAATCTGGCTTGCAAGCATGGTTTAAACCCTTGGCTTGGAGTTAAATGCCATGTCTGCCTGCAGTGGACTAAGTAGGCAGGGCATTAGAATTTAATTTGGAACACCTTAATTTATCCCTTTTCTTGCAATAGTAAGACATTGTTTCTCTGTGTTCTGCATAATAAAAATGGGTGGTGGGTAGTGAAGCCACTCGTGCAGAATTTGATATAATTATTCAGCACACTCACTGTTCCAGCGTGAGTCAGCCCTATTTCCTGATGGCTGCTGCAGATTATCTTCAGGGACAAAGAATCCTTTAAAAATAGCCAGTCTCTCCTCCCTGCTCAGTCTCTGGGGACATAGGACATAGTTGTAAACCACAGAAGCCAAGACAGCCCCTATGAAAGGTCCCATCCAGTAGATCTGCAGAAAGAAGCACATGAAAAGCAGCTTTGAAGAATACAAAAACATTGCTTTGTCAGGCCAGGGTCCTTTGTATACCTTGGGTTAGTTAGATGTTAGTTAGGTGCTAGACAAACCACCAAGAAACAAATCTGACCCAAATATTTTGACACTTGAAAAGAACCAGCAATTTCAATCAGGGTGCCATGATTCCATCTCGTCTCCACATGCTTCATGGCAAAGTATGTTCTGAAGACAATTGCTGCAGTTGTCTCTCTGGTTTTATATTCTACTTATAGAACAGATTTCATGCTTAGCTAATACTTGACTGTTTACTAAGCAGAATATACTGCATTTATGAAGTCCTTGGTGCTCTCTGAGCTTGGATGGGAGTTTTTTTGGCCGACATTTCATTACCAAGCTAGGTAATGTCATCAGTGTTAGTAGGGAGTGGGGTCTGCCCTGTCCATAGTTGGTAGGAGTGGTCTTAGTGGTTCCTTGATAATACATTTGCTAATTTGACATCAGCAGAGCAAAGTTTAGACCACTGAAATAGAATCAGAGTCACCGTGGAGCACAGGGTTTTATGTTTTAGTTTTATGCCTTCAGGTCAGTCTTGACCACGGGTCCCCAGACTTGGCAACTTTAAGACTTGTGGACTTCAACTCCCAGAATTCTGGGAGTTGAAGTCCACAAGTCTTAAAGTTGCCAAGTTTGGAGACCTCCGGTCTTGACTCTTTGCCACAGTTTGGAGTTTTCTTGGCAACATTTTTGGAAGTGGTTTGCCCTTACTTCCTTCTTCTAAGATCTGACAGGGGTGGGGGGGGGGCTAGCCCAAAATCACTTAACTGCCTTTGTATCCAAGGTAGAAACTGAAGTCACAGTCTCATGGTTTCTAACTTGATAGCTTAATCCCGACACTAAATTGGCTCTCTGCATACAATTAGGGGCGTTATTCTTGGATCAAAGGGAAACAGGATACTACAATGGTTGATAAGGGCCATTGAGGATCATCATCCTTTGTTTGAAGACCTGTCTAAAAGTGAAGAAATGTAAGCAGAATGAAACTGCCCATCTTCAAGGAGCACACTGGGCTAATAGAATATGCACACGACTTGAACAGTTTCCTCCACCATAGCGGGTGCATCGAATATCTACTGAAATAACAACTATTTCTAAATATTAGCTTGTGAATACTATGCATACTAGTGTTTTGTTTGTCCTCTGTACCAGTTGTATATTTGCTTATTTTTTTAGACAGCTCCCCATTCCTATGACACAATTTCAGAGCAAAATCTCTAGATTATCCAGGACGAGTCTTTCTCACAAATTGATTAGGCCCCTTATAAGCCTTTCGTGCCAGCAGGTGATGAGAATCATTTTTTTAAGTGATGAAATTCTCTTGGTTTAGGTCCAGAGAGGTGGAAATAGAACTGTGATAGTCTTAGATTGGCAAATAGTTATTCAACTTGTATGCTGATGACACTCAGCAGTTCAGGGCCCTGCTTTGTCTTCATTACTGATTAGGGTCTTAAACCTTGCCACTGTTTTCAATAACTTCACATGTAAACCAGTGTTAAGACTCTGGACAAACAGAGTATCTGATGGATGGAGCTGGAAGAAGGTTTATCAGTGAAGGAAGTTGGTGTGAAGGAAGTTTGTGTAATCTAGGCTAACAAATGAAGATCTGGGCTGACAGAGTTAGCAAGGAGAATCTTACCCAGTGAAAAGGACCGAATTTTCCCAGTATGACAGCAGGGGCAAAGGATCTTGCTGGATTTAAGGAACAGCCAGTATAATAAATCTGTTAAAGGAAGAAAAGGCACTAGTTTAGATTCGTGGTGGTCTTCTGTCAGGAAACTAAAGTAATCTTTCTTGATGCCTGGACTTCAAATCCCAGAATTCCTCAGCTTTCTTAACCATTGCTAAGAATTCTGGAAGCTGAAGTCCACATATCTCAAAGTTGCCCAGCTTGAGAAACATTAACTTTAAGTATTCTATTCATGGGGGAGCTTTTCTCTTACTTTCTCCCCAATCCTGCATAATTTATTATTGACTCTTTTGTGGAGATTCTTTGCCTCATTTAGATGAACCTCACTGTCGGGATATTTCCCATTTCTTATTACCCATTGCAACAACATTTGTATATAAATTATTTGCAAACACTTCCTTGAGTTTTCTCCTGTGGATATAAATTTGAGATGCTCTAGATATTTGGCATCTAGCACTACCTCCTTTCAGTACAACAGTGGAAGCTGTGTTGAACCCTCTCAGAAATATGCAAGGTTGCCATGTATGCCCCTTTATAAGAAATAGCTCTCTGTATGGAGGGATCTCATATAAAGGAGCAGAGGATTATATGCCAAATCCAGTTTAAAGACAATACATTATGAAGCTGAAGTTATTTATTTGTAGGAGCATCTAGAAAGCAGACTGGGCAGCTCCATGAGACATCTGGTCATAATTGCCCACATTGAGTGAATGGTTTTGAAATTATATTGAAAATATCAAAAGTATTTCTAGATTTGCATGCAAACATATAAATTAGATCCTGCCCTCACATGGCCTGCTTGTTAATGCTTTCCTTAATATTGCATGCATTACAATGTTACACATTTGTAAATATAATACGAAAGACGGAAACAAAATTATCGTTCCAGCATACATGATTATTCAGTTAGATACACATTCCAACTCTTAAGAAATTGGTGGAAATTGAGGGGAAAAGACTATCCTGCAAATAAATCCATGTACAATTAACTACTGTTTGCAGAGTTTCATTTCTGCACTTTAATAACAATATTAAGGCAGACCTATTCTGCATGGGGTTTCTGAATCAAAGGTGTTGGTTATATTGATTTCTGAGCTGAATTGTTTTGATACTAATTAAGGATGTGAGAAAGTTCATCAGCTGTGTCAAAACACCTGTGGCTTCTCAAATTTGCTCAGTGTTTAGTTTTTTACAAGTTTTTCTTTCACCAAGTTTGAATCTGAACTGATCTAGTGTCTCTCAAAAGCATTTGGCCTTCTATTCAGCCTCCTCAAGTAAAGCACTGCTTAAAAACACAAATAAATAAATAAATAAACTTTTGATAACCTTGAAATGTCACATTATAAAAACGAAATCAAACAAGTCAACAGAGAGTGATTCCTCCCCCCTATTCTCATAAAATCTTACAAACTCCTGCCCTCTTTACTTCATCTTTCTTTAACAGGGAGATGTCTTCTGCTGTGTTTCCTGCAAGTGAACCTTTCTGCTAAATAACTGGTAAAGAATAAAATGCAAGGGACTCACCCCGACAAGGTGAGCCATAGTGACAGCCAGGCCGATAGACAATGCTGCATAGCTTCTGTTCTCTCTCCTGCGCTTATCGGTTACGGAGAAGATGCACATAACCATAGAAAAGGTTAGAATGATTTCAATCATAAAGGCTTCACCTGAAGTTACATCTTTGGGGACCTGCCAAAGTGTCAGAAAGGAGAGTTAAGAAAAAAAACCAAAACCCAACAACACAAGCACAACACAAACAACTTGTTATGCTGTCCTTGTAAATTTCCCACCAACACAGTCTTGCTGTTGTCTTCCCAAAGATACCTTACTAGGAAATAAATTCCATTGCATGGGAGGAGGACATGTCAATTTCTCCCACCCCCAACTTTGGCTGCAGGTTTTGTTATGTATGTGGAATTCTTCAATAATTGTTGCAGAAGTAGCACATTTGTTTCAGATGAAAGAATTTTCCCCAGTGTGAGTGGCCGGCTGTTGATTCAATCATAGGAAGATCCATGGAGGGCTACCCATGAGAGCACCTCAGCACTGGTAGACTCTCTTCCTTGCCACTGCGGGGCCATCTCTATCTAGAGCAGGGGTCTCCAACTTTGGCAACTTTTAGACTTGTGGACTTCAACTCCCAGAATTCTTCAGCCAGCTTTGCTGGCTGTGGAATTCTGGGAGTTGGCCCACAAGTCTTAAAGTTGCCAAAGTTGGAGACCCCTGCTCTAGAGACTTCCAAAGATAGTCAGTTCCCTTTCTTGGGTCTTCTTTAATTAAACCTCACAATGCCTCTGTTCCCTCCTGTTGTCCCATAAGGAGATCTCAAAGATAACAACTCCTAATACTCACAAGCGCCATAGACTGGCTTTACATATAAAGGTTCTCCATAACAATTATGCATAGTAGTTTGTTATTACCCTTCTTCTTTTGAAAGGAACACATCTCATGGCCTAAATACATGTCAACTCTAAAGCTCTCAACAAGACCAGATGGATGCTTCTGTTGTAGAAAGTTGCTTCGGAAAGGAAAATTGGATCCTGCTCAAATCACACCCTATCACCCTTGGGGTTAAATTCCTTAGGAGAGCACCCAGAAAACTATATCATAGGGTCTTTTGGCAAAGTCAAAGGGGCTCCTAAAGAATTGCCTGTTTGGCTTATGTTCATGTACTGACCCAACACAATAAGTTGGGAGTCATGCACATAAGCTTCTTTCAGATTAATTGGCAAAGAAAGACTTACCTGATTGACAAATAGTGTTGAGCGGACCTCTCCGGGTGTCACCGCATAGATGATTCCTGCACCAGCAAGGGCTCCCATCACCTGTAGGATCGTATAAAATACAAAGCGGACGATGGAGATCTGGTTCCCCACAAAGTAGGCAAGGGTGACAGCTGGGTTGATATGTGCACCGCTGATATGACCAAAGATTTGAACTATAGTTGCGACCGTTAGTCCGAAAGCCAAAGAAATCTGGAGAACGCTAGGTTGTTCCAAAGGCCACTTGAAGGATGAGCCCAAGGCAATGCAGAGAAAGATTGCAGTTCCTACAAATTCACTTAGAACAGCCCAAGCAAATTTGGCGGTTAGAATCTCTGCTTGTCTTTCAGTAGTAGCCATGGCTGGTGCAGTAGACACCGAGTGGGTGTTAGCATGGAATTTGTAGACACCACGAGCAAGGAGTAAATTTGCTGGCCCATGCTGCATGCATTTATAGAGAGAAAGGGATGGGTTTAACCAAGTATAGGTGGGGCCAAAGAGAAACCTGTCAGTCATCCTGAAGGTAATTTCGGAATCAGGACTACTATATTTCAATGTTAAAATATCCCAAACAATTTCCATAGCTAATGAGAAAACCCTAAAGAGGGCATTCTTCTCAAAGCAGTAGCCTGTTTTGAAAAGACTTTTAGAATTATTTCAGAGCATTCATAAGTAAAGGTAAAGGTTCCCCTTGCACATATGTGCTAGTCGTTTCCAGTTCTATGGGGCAATGCTCATCTCCGTTACAAAGCCGAAGAGCCAGCGCTGTCTGAAGACATCTCCATGATCATGTGGGCAGCATGACTAAATGCCGAAGGCACATGGAATGCTGTTACCTTTCCATCAAAGTGGTCCCTATTTTTCTAATTGCATTTTTACATGCTTTCGAAATGTAGGTTGGCAGAAGCTGGGACAGGTAACGGGAGCTCACTCCATTACACGGTGCTAGGGATTCGAACCACTGAACTGCCGACCTTTCTGATCGACAAGCTCAGCGCCTTAGCTACTGAGCCACCGCGTCCTTGCAGAGCATTCATAACATCATAGAAGTATAGGACTGGAAGGGACCTTGGAGGTCTTGAAACAAATATGATGGTTCAATGTCTTTCTTTTCATTTTCATTCTCTGAAAAGTGGGAATTCTTATATTTTATTTTGTAGCATGCCAGTCAATGCAACTGTATGCATTTAGATGGAGTGTATGAAGCTTTGCTACAGGAGCAAGTTCTCATATGTCAATCATATGTTCTCATATGTCAATATCAATGGGGTGATCTTGGAGGGTCCTGCCACAGGTCCATGTGACATCTCCAGTTCATTTTGGTTTCTTCCTGATATAACCGAGGCTGTAGAAGAGAAAGCCACTTGAAGCTGAAGACCCTCATAATTGCAGTTGAGGAGAGAGTTCAAAACATCCTTGTTTACACAGGCCTTCTAATTGAACCTGTCATTTTCATAAGTGTAGCTGTTTTAGCCCCTTAATTATATGCTTTAAAGTACACCATGTAATTGCATTGATCGTTTGTTTACATGGTATTTCAGTAGCTTTTATTCACTTTTTGAAAGGTGCACTAAGCCATTAAGGAAGTGAGCAGTACAGGCATATTTTAAACAAACAAATGAGGTTCTACACAATTTGTAACTTGTGCTGCAGATTCACCATCAGAAATTTAGGGACGAAAAGTAGAAAGTTTTGGTGGGCAGGGACTATTGTCAGACTACGTTTTGCTACTCAGCATATATTTCCTCTCTTTTCTGCTGATCTGAAGTTATCTTGCCTTCCGCTGCTTTGGGCTATGTTGTGTTCTAGAGTCACAGATGCCAGTCAGAGTAACACCAAGTATTATGCTAGTAGCAATCATATTTCCCTATGTGATGATGTCACGAAACCTATTCAGATTGTGGCCACAATCTTTACTGGTTTCTAAGAATGAGCGATGCATCTTTCATTTTCATAGTCTTCATTATCCAAGCAGGATGGATAATGCATGTATGGGGCAGAAATGTTTGTGAAATCTACTTGTATAAACAGCATTTCATAAAGCCCTGTTTTGTTCGCAGACTGGAGGCACTGAGTAGATCAAAAGGACCTTTTAGTACATTTGCTACCAAATTGCACATAATGTGAAAAATTCATTTTGTCTTGTGGCCACTTGAAAGGGGGAACCTGAACGATGGAAAGATAAATGATGAAAAGGAACAATATGGCATTGAATCAATGGCAATTACAATAACAAATATGATAATTTATGATATCTGATTTCACAAAAAGTATGTGGACTGAAATGCATATTGAAGGATTTTAACTCCTGCAGCTATAGAAAATGTCTAAAGTCCACGTCTTAGAATTGTTTAAAAAAATAAAAAGTGGAATTAGAGCCAAAGTTTTTCTTGAAGCAGCTTGCAGAGCAAAAGCTGAAATTCCTTCTCAGGTGAAATAATTATAAGGATGGCCACAGAAGTTTCAGCAAGATTATGGTGATATTTCTCAAAAATTCCTGATTGCTAGGTTGTTTTTAGATTTTCCCAATAATGAAATTCGGCCGTAATTTGTCATTTCAGGTCAAAGATCTTAGAATGTTTGAAGAAATTTTAAAAGACATTCACAATTTTGATAAGTTTCATGAACATCTCAGATAATAACAGAATAAGAGAGTTGGAAGGGACCTTTGAAGTCTTCAAATCCATCCTCTTGCTCAAGCGGGAGGATCTAGACCACGGGTGTCAAACTCACGGCGTCACGTTGCTGTCATGTGACGTATCACGATGGTTTTCCCTTCGTGGAGCTGGGGTGGGCGTGGCCTGGGCGTGATGCATCCAGACCATGGGCTGTCAGTTTGATATCCCTGCTGTAGACCATTTCAAACAAATGATTGTCCAATCTCTTCTTAAAAACCTCTGGTGTTGGAGCATTCACAATTTTTGGAGGCAAGTCATCCCACTGATTAATTGTTCTAATTGTTAGGAAAACTGTCTCACCAGAAAACGATAGCATGAATGGAGAATTGAATCAAGTGAAATAGTGAATCGTCCTTTTTCAGATTTCATTCAGACTAAGATAAATGCCCATAGGAATAATAAGCACAACACAGAATTGCATTAGTATGAATGCTCTTTTTAGATGTGTTTCCCACCAGGACTTCAAGTGGGTACTAAGAACCATGCTTGTGTTAACATTCACTCATTAAATTTTCATTTATTGGCTTTTATTAATCTAGAATAAACTAAATGCATAAATGAGGGGGGGGGGGGGGGGGGGGGGGGGAGGAAACAAAGAGGAAAATGAATCCTGAAATAGACACAAAAACTTTTTCACAACCTACTTTGGAAAGGAAATTTATAGAATGTTCACTAGTCCAAATGCAACCCACTCACAAAGAACATTTTCCTATCTAAGCTGCACTGAAATGAATTATTCAACCAGGTTGTGCTCAGAAATAATGTTTGAAAAATGTTGCTACCTAGGATCAGCTGCTACCTCAGATCTCACTGAGGGCTTAAAATGAAGCCAGAAGAAGAGGTATTCTATGCTAAGATAGCTCAAATGGCACATCTTCTATTACCAGTGGGTCTTACAGTCTATTGGTGCCTCCAAGTCAGTCCTGACTTCTGGCTTTGACAAGTTCCTGATGTTTTCTTGGGAAGATATTAAAAGTGGTTTGCTGGTCTATGTCATTTCAGAATATATTCACCTATATCTCTTTTCCTTTCTATTTTTCAAATGTGCACTTTAAAAAAATAATAATTACAATTTCAATACTGTTGACTTACAACAGTTCGTTTAGTGACCGTTCAAAATGACAATGGCACTGACAAAAGTGACTTAGGATCATTTTTGACTGTTACAACCTTTGCAGCATCCCCATGATCATGTGATCAGAATTAAGACGCTTGGCCATTGGTTCATCTTTATGACCATTGCAGTGGCCCAGGGTCACATGATCACTTTTTGCAACCTTCTGACAAGCAAAGCCCATGGGGAAGCCAGATTCACCTAACAACTGGGTTACTAACTGCAGTGATTCACTTAACAACTGTGGCAAGAAATGTCATAAAATGGGGCAAAGCTCACTTAACAAGCGTCTCACTTAACAACATATATTTTGGGCTCAATCATAGTCATAAATTGAGGACTACTTGTACTTGTTATTGCTGGTATTTTTTAATGTATGTTGCTCAGAAATTTGTGACTGAGTGGTTGAGCAATGGAAGCAGTGAATGAATGAATGTAATATCTCTCTTCCACCATCCCCTTGACCCCATCTTTACATTTCTAAACATATTTATTCCTAAAATATTATTTATTTTTTCATTCATTCATTCATTCATTCATTCATTCATTCATTCATTCACTCAATTTCTAGAGCCACCTATCGCAATCCAATTACAGTGGTACCTTGTCACCTGGCTGTTTTGAAACTTGTCAAATTTGGTAGTCAATGCATTTTGACATGAAAATTTTGTCCCGGTACTCGTTGTTTGTTTAGTACTCGACTGCAAGCTAGAACTTGTCGATGTCAGTTGCTCATCATATTCCTTATGGGAAAAATTTATTTGGTACTCCTCATTTTTGGTACTTGTCTTGCCTCCTAGAACCAATTAATGATGAGGACTGAGGTACTACTGTAATTCTTTTTATTTTCATACCTTTCTGAGCTGAAATCTGCATCTGATCATTCAAGCAATGTTGGGTGGGGGGTT